CCACCCCCCTCCTATCCTGCCCTGAAGGCACCCTACCATCCAGTGCTTGCCGGGGCTTTGCTGAGCAAGGGGCTGCTGCACCCAGAAGTCGGGGTGCACGTCAGCGCTGAGCCCATCAATGCTCATTGCGGGAATGGGCTGAGCTGCAGGGAGGAGGGCCACCCTCCAGATTTGGTGGGTGGCTCGATAACACCCCTCTGTTACTCACTGGCTGCCCCTGCCAGCTTTTTCCTTGCAGGATGGGAGGCGATGGAACTGACGCACCTGGCTGGAGGGCTGTGCCTCCCTGCAGGGTGGTGGCCCCAGCCCTTTGCATGGTAGCTGAGACCTCACACACTCATTACAAGCCCTGCTCTTGCCACCCCTGACAACCCCGGCTCTACAAGGGCAGTTGCCTGCACGTAGGCAGCAGATCCTGCAAGCAGCCCGGGTGCTGACAGGTCCACCTCTCCACGACGGAGGGGACGAAGGCGACAAGCAGACCTTTGCCCCACAGCCATGTTGAACCTCTGGTTTCTTCCTGGACTTTGTGACGCACAGGGAGGACTTCACGAGCCAAGCACCGCTGGTGACCTCAACGTTGTCAGCAGAGCAGCATGCCTGCCTGTGGCCTTTTGGCTTTTAAGATCCCCAAAAGTGAGGGAACGCCTGGATTTTACCAGGATTTCAAAAAAACCCCCACCCAACCTATAGGCTGGACTGAGCTGTTGAGCATCACCCGAGAGCCATCGACAGGAAGGGCCCCAGAGCAGCAAGCACAGCAAAGTGACGCAATCCTTTGGTTTTCAGTTTTTTTGCTTTTGCAACAACTATTTCCTTTATTGTGAGCGCTTGTGCAAAACAAAGCAGATGATGATGGACAGAAACTCGGGCATTAACACAAGAGCAGTAACAAAGGCCCCAGCAAGGAGGGCAGACGACATCCCGAGAGCACTACGGGGCAGGTGGGCTCTGATGAGGCTCCAAAAGCCACACAGGAGCAGATTCGGTGTCCCCAGCGTGGAGGGACATGGTGCCCCCTTCCAGGACACATTGCTGAGTTGGCTGTTTTAGGAGGAGAGAGGGGCTGATCTTGTTAGGCAAGGCTGAAAAAACCACCTATCTCTGGGGAAAGATGTTTAGCTTAATTTTCCATACCTGGAGTGGTACCGCTGGGATTTTTTTCTTCCCTTGGCACCTTGGTGGAAGGGGAAGTGCTGTGCTTGATGATCTTAAAGGTCTTTTCCAACCAAATGATTCTATGATTTTACATCCCGAGGGGCTAGGAGAAACCCGAGCCTCACCCACTGGCACGCAGGGCTGAGGACAGGCCAGCCCCTGCTCTCCCAGGAGCTGGTGGGATTTCGCAACAGGCGCGCCCAACGGCACAGGCTCTGCTGAGGGTTATCTCCTTTCCTCCAGGCGAGCCGTGCTGTCTGCCGGCTTCTTACCTGTCAGCCTGTGACTCAGGGCAGGCACGATCGGCAGCCAGGCACCTGGGTGCTGCAGGCAGGCACTTTAAAGATCAAGCAATCACCCAGATGGGGTGGTTTTAAATGGCAGTGCTGGATCCTTCTGCTGATTTCAGCTAAGGCTGGAGCTACCTTTCACCCTGGGTACGTGGGGTTATCAAACCATAGCTTAGACACTCAAGTTCACCTTTGCTGGAGCAGCTAAATGACATTTATACAGCACCTGCTGCCCACACTCAGGCCTGAACTACCAGTCTCCATCTCCCACCTCCATCTTCTCTCCCCAGTGTAGTGGACAAAAATGCCTTTTAGGAAACCCTTGCCTTGCACGCAGACTTGAAAAGGTTTCTAGCAGCTCTGCTCCTGCTGCACCTGAGCTGCACTACCAGGGCTATGGTCCTGCTGAGCTTGCACCACTCTGAGCCGTGTCCGTCATCTGAATGCCTTCACCTTTTTCTTCTTCACGTAGTCCTGTTAGAAAGTGACTTCTCTCCCCAGCAACCAGCCAAGCTATAGGAAGCATTCCTCCTGTTGTCTGTCCCCACTTGCCTTTTCTGAAGGCCTAGGTGATTTGGGAGAAACCTTAACTGGAGGGATTTGAAACAGCCCCAAGAAGAAACATCTCTCCATGCTTTTCATCCCCTCCAACAGAGAGGCAGAAGGGCAAACCATCTTGGGAGGTGGTGAAGTTTGGACCACTAACTCCATGATGTGGACAGGCCTGAAGCATTATAGCTGCGAAGGTCAGTTACTGCCAGCACTGGAGCACAGGAATACTCTTCCAGAGAGGCCAGGGCTTGCTGCAAGGGTCCTGAAAGCAGCCAAAGCCTCTTAGATCAGCTGAAGCTGTGGGACCACACCTAAGCAAGGCCCAAAGTGCCACCTCAGGCCTCTCATCCCTCAAAGTCTGGGACTAAGGCACTTGGTACCCGAGCCCCTGATCGAAGGGCTTTCACGTTGTGGGAAGCGCCCTTTTACCTTCCAGGTCCAACATCCTTCCCCCTTTGCAGGGTCTTCTCCTCCATTTCCTAACCAAAGCATACCTTTATAGGGTGTCTCTTGGAAGATGCCTGCAGTCTGGAGGCGCTGGTTATCAGCTGGATCTTGGCTGGGAGTTCCCTTTGTTTGTCAGGCAGCACCACTCCCACTCCGTCACTCCGGTTTCCTTATCTCAACCTGGACTTTGGACAGAGACCAGTACTGCAGACACCTAGGCAAGGAGGAGCTGCTCATGGGGATGATTACCCACTCGGGCAAGCCCACAGTTGACTGAAACATAGGGTAAAAGTGCCCGCAGAACCAGGCCGGTGTGCTTTTCTCCCAATCAGAAAGCTTCGCTCCAGTGGGTCTCTTTGCATCGGAGAACCGTGTGCTCCCAACCCTGTGACCCGCATGGGTGCCAAGTTACAGCGAGCAGTCAATGCCTGCCTTTAATTAAAGGTTTTAACTATGCAGCATGGCCAGAGAGGGCACATGCTGAGTTAGGTAATGGACCATTATTTCCCTGGCCCGGCAGATAAACCAGCACAGCGTAGAGCGCTGCAGAGGAGCCGCAGGGACAGTACAGCTTTCTGTCCCTGCACATCTGGCAAGGGCTTGCAGAGGAAGGGGCAGCCTGTAACTGCCTGGCCTTCATCGGGCTGGCCAGAGGGAGGTCCCTCAGTTCCTACAGGGAATGCAGCACAAAATAACTGACACGTGCTGGGTTTCTCCTGCTCAGACTGCAAATACCAGGTGTTTCCCAGGAAGCTCCCCAAGCCATGGAAATCACGGTCCAAAGCCTAAAAGTAAGAGACCAGTTGCCATCAGGGAGGCAGAGGCTGGCAGTCACTCGGTTGCGAGGGGTGCAGGGCCAAGGAGGGCAGCTCACTTTGCAGACAGATGAACCTCCTTTCCACCCCCAAATCCCTCCACCAGCTTTTCCTTCCAGCCTGTTTCCCCCATCCTTTCTCCCTGGCGAGCAGCACAGGCCGGCAGCAGGGGAAGGCATACCAGCTCCCCAAGCGCCCAGCTTATGCAGGGCACCGGCCTGCTCAGCCAGCAGCACTGGCCCCGCTGCAGGACTAATCCAGAGGCTGGAGAGGAATCAGTCACTGACCCAGGGGATGGAAACCCCATTTATTTAGGCTGTTCAAATTTGGCACGCACAGAACATATCACAGTAACGCACTGGAGGCTAAGGGATTTGGTTGGTTTTTTTTTTTTTTTTCTCTACAGACATACAGGAAAACTCTATGCAACTCCCATGTACACATTACACAAAGGAAACAGCTTTAATCAACCACTGGTGAAACATGGAAGCTTTCAAGATCTCTGTAGCTGGCACAGGAATGTTCTCTACCCCACCCCACCCCCCCCATACAAAAGGCATTTCAGGTCAAACTTTCTAGTAGGTGATATTTCCATGCATTTCTACAGAATTAAAGAAGCTAACAGACAAAAAGCCCAGATCAAGCCGTATTAGTCAGGCTGATTGGTTCTACTAAGTTAAATCAATAGTAACTATGGACAAATGGACCAAGTGACCAAAGACTGGGGCTGAGAATACCACTTTTTAAGATGTGGTTCCTTCTCATTGTACTACCCATAACTGGAGAGCTCCGATATAAGAATCTGCATTTGTAAAAGCCTCAGAAGCATCTGATCCGCTAGTAAGTGTGTATTAGTGAAAATAAGGTAGTTCCAAGTTAAACTATGTCAACAGAAAAGCAGTTTTTATAGAATCACTCAGGCTGGAAGAGACCTCAGGACACTTCATAACAAGAAAATTGAACTTGCAGAACAAGTGAACCTTTAAATACTATTACTGCACAGTGAGTTTACAAGAGAGTGGCTTAGGACTATTTCTCCAGAAAAGTGTGCCTATTTTATCTCTGTTTAACTTCAGAATTAGCCATTATTAGCACTGCTCTGCAACTGCAAGCACTAAGAATTTAACCCACTGTTGGTGCCAACAGGTTTCTCTTTAGCCTAACCTTAACTATAGGTTTTAAGTTTTGTATTAAACTGTTACAGGGGAAGTTTTTGAGTTTGGCAATTTGGCCAGTAGCCTCAGAAAGACTGACTGAATTTTGCTTGTTACAATTTAGAAAAGTAAGAACAGGAACTGGATTGTTCTCACCTCCCCCCTTTCATCCCATGATACACTGCTGCACTGGACCAAAATTTTTTGAGACCTTTAGTGTTAATCCATTGGGGACAGTATTGGGCTGGAAAACCAATGCAAATACTAATACACCAAGATAAATCCTTAGATTTGATTTATTTAGGGTCATTTGTACATACGAGCTACATCTCCAAAATCTACTTTATTCTACAAGACAGCTTCCCTACAGTTAGTGAAAACCCTTGCCTAGAATGGTTGCTTTACATAATTGATATATTAAAACATGGAATGCTTGTAGAGTTGTGGCACTGTATGACATCTACACGGGACTTCCTTCAAAAGCTACGACTAGGGAGCCTCCTAGCTTCTCAGCAATGCAAGCTCGGTTGAGGTCCTCTGGCCCATTTGCTTGGCATTCATGCTTTATGCCTAAAAAAAGAGGCAAAACACTCAATAATGCACTATTTCAACATGCTAGTAATAAAAGAAGCATACTTGGTAGTAATATTAGAAGAGGCAATTGGTCACTCGAGCAGGTAAGTCCTGCCTTCGCTCAGGAATTCAGATGTTTTTCGCCTGCTATGACACAGGAGACATCTGGCTACACACCAAATATCACCACAGAAATATGGAAGTTCCACTGGATTAGTGCTCAGACTGTTAGCCTTTTCACTGCAGGCTAGCTTATGAGCGACTCTCATTCCTAGTGCTACCCTGGATATGGCAGCTGAGAATGCTACACGCAAGCACTCAGCTCCCCCTGCCTCTGGAGAGGTGGGTGAAAGAATCAGCGGTAATTTGAGATGCAGAGACAAGAAAGACTTTGCTGGCCTAAGGAATTAACAGTGGTTTCTTCTTTTGGAGGGTGGGGAGCCCAACCCAAGCCTGTCTTATGTGGAAAAAAGCAGAAAAGTTGCAGGGTTTGGTTGTTTGGGTTTTTTTTTTTTTTCTGACTTTTTTCTGACTTCCACGTGTGCAGCACACAGCAGCATCCCTGGCTAGCTCCAATCTGCTGGCAAGTTCCAATCCACTGGCAGTTTGTCCTGTGAAGGCTGGTACAGCTGCACAATGATCCAGTCAGTCCTGCACACTGCAAGACTGTGGCCCAGCGCAGCATGAGGAACTGCAGCGGGGAGGCAGGCAGGGCTATCTGGCTACGAGCCACCTTAGCGACCAACTTAGCATGAAATTTCTGAATGCTGCAGCAAGATGCTTACTCCTTGGCTCATGGTGCCTGACAGGCTGAACAGAACTTAAGTTTCTCCACCTGGGAGATGTGATGCCTTTTGCAATGAGTAATCACAACCACATCTCTAAATCAAGTGAATTGTTAATTACTACTACTACAGCACAGTAAGTTTATTAGATTGTGCATTTCAACAGACACATGGCTGAAAGGCCTCTGCCACAGAGGCAGCTCTGCACAAAATCCAGCTCAGTGTTATGAATCTAAAGGTTTCTAGCCTGCAGATGTGCTGCCCTGTACAGTACAGCTATGGTGTTGCACATTGCAAGCCTGTTCTTGTCCTGAGCACAGTTCTAGTGCCTCTCAAATTCAGAGTCTCACAGTTTAAATTTTAGCCAGAGCTCATTTCGGCTCTGTCATGGGGCATTTCACCTATGAAGTTCTCATGTCTCACTAGTACTCAAAAACCCAAAAAGCCAATTAGCCAATGGTTAAGCCTCGCTGTGTAAGCATTCTAGGGGCATGGCACAGCTAGGAGCATTAGCTGTATTACATACCTTGAAACTTCTTTTTGATTGCATCCTTGGAGCTTGCGTAGATCATCTTACTTTTGAGAGGTGCTTGTTCTGGTGCCCTAGGGGGGTACACCAAAAAAAAAAAGGTGCAATTAGTGACATTTATTATCCAGCATAGATAGAAGCAGTGTCCTACTGATTATGAACAAGCAAAATGTCTCATGGCTCAGAATACAGGCATCAGGCTGTCTGGCTCACTTTAAGCCTGCCATCTGGCCCACTTGGGCAATACACACACTCAGAGATGTCACCCACAGTGCTTGGACTGCATGTTAGGAATGAGTTGGGAAGATGGCTTACCACAAGAAAAACATCAGCTCTTCTTTTTTGGATTCCTTGGTCTCAAAGCTTGCATCATACAAGGCATAACGGCAATCCTTCTCAGGAAGCATCTGCACAAAGTGCTTGAAAGGGTCGGTAACTGTCACACCGACATCTCCCACCAGAATCTCTTTGCCTTCTTCCACAATAATGCACTTTTTGTCTGGACTGAGGCAGAAGATGACAGCCTTCTTCCTCTTCTTAATTTCCTCAGGTGTAGAGCACTTCCGCACTTTCATGTCATAAAAGATACGGCATACCTCATCGGCAACTTGTACTCCAGATGCCTGCAAAGACAAGAGCAAAGACCTTCAGGGCTACCACTGCAAATTTTCAGAACTACATTACAGCACTGCCTTAAATCACAGGCTAGAAGACAACAGATACTGGCAATAGTCACCAGTGGCCTGAGAGTCTTGTCAGAAAAGGCTGCAGGCCCTCTTTTTCCAAGCCAAGTAAAGAATCTGGAGTCTCAATGCTGCCCACAGCCAGCTGCTAAACCAAAACTATTCCGAAGAAAGCACAATCCTACTTATATTAGAACATTGTTTTGGGGTAGTTTTACACACATGTCCACTCCTTGTCCTCTGGGATTCAGTTGTGGCAGATCCTTTGGCATTAGAGCAGCTTAATTTCGTTACCCATTTCAGGCTGGCTAGACAAGTCCACGAGGATCTCCTGTTCAAAGTTTCCTAGCCACTTCTACCATGCCTGCTAGCAGCTTTAGGAACAGAGGTAGAACATGGCCAAATTCCATGCTTGTCACATGAATTTGGTTTAGAGATCAAGAGAGGTGTAGTGGGGTACTGGGACTGTAGTGATACAGTTTTTAGCTGAACAAGCCAACTTTCAGAAGCTGCTCTGAATTCAGTGTTTTAAAAGGAGAACTTGCAAGTCTAACAGTTAAAGTGTCTACTTCCCAGCTGTTCCTCCATCCGTTTCTAAAGCAAGCTGCCTTTTCAACTCCCCTCCCGCCCTTCGAAGTCTGGTGGGAAATTCTAGGTACTTCGTGGTATCCCCCTGTGCTAGCTGTAATGGGAGGTGCAGATGCAGCATTACCAATCTAATGTTAAAGGCAGCTGCACAGAATAAAGAGGACAAGACCTAGCAAGAACGACAAGAGGCTGAACTGCATTTTCAGTCTGTTGCTTTTTTGGGAACAAGACAAAAAAAAATAAAAAGAGAAAGAGAGGTGGCAGGGTAGAAGCGTTTGTATTTGAGTTTTGTTCTCAGAGTGGAGCGAAGTTGGAGAGCTTAAAAGCAGCTGTGCAATAGCAAATACTGCAAATATGGGGAGCCATACTGGCCAGCAGACACTGCTGGAAGGACATCATGGCCAGCGCAGTAAAGAACAAATGGAAGCAGGTCCAACACATCTATCTGCTCAAAATGCTGTGTGCAATGTAAAGAGTGAGATTCCTTTCCAATACTGCTTCTTCCACCACTGGTTTTTGGTCTTCCAAATTCAAATGACATTATCCTCAGATAATGGCAATTCTTATCTCGTAAGGAAAATTGCCCTCCTCCCTCTGTGTAAACTGCCTCACGTCACTATCAAATGCACAGTCAACAGTACTAAACAAGTCAAGTAAAGCATCATGTGAGATATACCAACTGAAAAAGACTAAAGGTTGTTCTTCATTTTATTTTTCCTTAAGCTCAGCCCCAAAATGTGCTTGATGGACTCATTTTGTGGGGAACATTGAAGTGTTCTAAAGCAGCAGCAGAGTTCAGCTGCAAAACCAGGGAAATCGGTGGTGAAGGGGAACTATTTAGTGCTAACTTTCAAACAGGCTGTCCTTGAGTGATGGTTATTGATTGGACAACTACCTAATGTGTATTTTTTTTTAAAGCCTTGACCAATGCCTACCACGCAGGACCTCAGATGAGCCCAGATTCTCCTTTTCCTACCAACATCTCTCCTACCGTGACTTGTAGTGGCTGGCATAGCTTTGCTAACCCAGTGAAAAGAGGTGGCACAGCTGGCAGAATCTAATACCATTGAGTTTAGCATCTAGATCTCCCAAGTGCTGGTTATGCAAAATCAGGGCAATCTCATATGCAGTGAATCTGAGACAGAAGCTTTTCTCTAGCATGGAGAACAGTGCACTTTAGGGGTTCACTCAAATACAAGGGGACCTTCCTCAAGATTTACAATGCATGGCTTGTCTATTAGGGGTAATCTATCCAGAATCCCTTGCACTTACTTTAGGACATGAGAACAGAGAGTAAGTTACCATGCCTCAGCTGCCTGGCAGGTGGCCACCCTTCTGCATATCTTCAATAAGGCATGGAAAGTAAGTGGAGAAAGCCTATTCCAGGATAAATTTGAGCAAAAGTGCAAACATCGATTCAAAGTGACTCATTCCTGTGTCACCTCCTCCATATGGAGAGACTGCAGTTTGTCAGAGGGTGATTGAGAACTAATGCAGAGTACAGGTCTTCCTCCTCCTGCCCCTGTGCCTGGTGTAGGCAAGAGCTCTCTAGGAAGACTCTGAATAACACAAGGTTGCCCTAATAAAGCAAACAGCGCAGCAACTAGAACTACTGCATCATTCACTAAGGACAAATCCACAGTGAACTGAAGACCACCTTTTTTTCCCCCCTGAGGTTTGTCTTCTAACTAATGGCACCTCAGTAGCTGACAACAGGTGTTAAGTCGCAGGTTTTAGTCACAAAACCCCCAAGATTCCAAGTAGAAAATGCTTAGAAAGCCTGAACCAGCACGGGAACGAGTCTAGTAATTGCATGAAAGCAGTACATGTCACCTAGCTTTACCTCTGTCAGTTCTTGATCTTTGCTCCAAGACTACAACAGCTAATTCCCCTGCACCAAATCCTGTTGCCAAGAAGTTAACTTTGACAGGAGAGATGAATGCTCAGCAGAGAGACAGAAGCAAGCAGTAGCAACGGAGCTACAGGTTGATGCAAACTGTGCAGTCAAGAGCATATGCTTGTGCTACTGCACAGCCAGAAACACGTCTCCAAGTTGGGAGACAAGTTGTTTCCTTATAAAGAAACTGAGCACTGCTGGCAAGTCAGTTCAGATTCCAAAAACGTTGAGAGTATTCAGTCTGGAAACTCAAAATTCACTGTTAATCTGCAGCTGATAACCAGGACTGACCAGAAACTGAAGGGACAACAGCAAGAACTGGATTTTTTTAAACTTTCCAAAACAAAAGGCTGTTAGTAACTGGTGCTACTCCTTTTCACAGCTGCTGTACAACCCCTGGGGATTCATCACGCAGGCTGACATGAGCAGCCATTATATTGCTAGGGACAATGCAGATTTGTTCCATCTGAGAAAAACCTATAGTTGTGTCACACTAGGGGTTGACACGAACCCATAAACTTCCGGTGCAACTAATTGCTTCCAAAAAGAGGATCTACTTTTGTAACTGTAGGACTCCCTCTTCGACCCTGGACTTGTACCAGCCATGACTGGCTTAATAACCATACTTAAAAAGGAAAAAAAACCCCAAACCCTAGGCAGCTTTTGTTGTAAGTTGGTTGCAGCCATTCTGTGTAGGGCAGCAATGGGATGACTGTTAAGAGCACTGGAACAAGGAGAAATGCCACAGTCGTAAATGCATGTCCTCAATCGACATTTTAACTGTGTCTCTGCTGATCTGTCCAGAATAATAGCTGTTGAGAAGCCTCCACCCTGCCAGTAATGACAGAATAAACGTTTATTTGTTAGTCTGGATTTTCTCCCTTTGGCCCAATATCGCTCTGCTCAGAGGATTCAATACAGCACATTCATTATTATTTTGTGCATTCTGGCTTGAACACTGCAGGGCTACAACAGCTAGCCTGGTTCTGTTCCTTTTTCAGCATGAAAGCCGTTATCCAACTCTGGACTGGTACATGGGCGCTGCTCATTGCGCAGTACATGCTGCAGACACTTCTTGGATACATGACCATTAGCTGGTGACATTTTGTTGCAAGGGACAGATAAACCCAGTAACACAGGCAACACCAACTTAAAACCATTCTCTGGACCCAACTGCAGAGAAAAAGACTACATTCAAATAGCCAGCCTGTTTCTATAGGCGTTGAGGACCTTAACTGCAGGCCTGTTAACCTCACTGAAACACGGCAGCAGCAAGGAGGCAAGCCACCTAATTATCAGATGGGAAAATGACGCCAGTACAGCACGTTCAGGGAGACATCCAGGCAGCCAAGAATGGACAGACTCAGTTTCTCTGAGGGAATCAGGAAAAATGATTTCTCCCCTAGTACCCCCATGCAACTATTGCAAAGGCGGCGTGTCCTGCGGGCAGCGTTGCCTTGTACGTTATTCTGGAGCACTTATACCAATATCCCCATTGTATTTTCATATAGACTGCTGTAGGCACATGAGGTAATGGTTGCATTAAATGCCTTGTCAGCATGCGCTGCAGTAACACAGTGGCCCTTATCCCCTACACAAAGCCACCGTTCCTGCCTTAAGTGCAAAGCACTGCAGAAGTCTTGCGAGAGCAGAATGCCGTCCCTACACAGGGCAGCCCAAAGAGAGAGCCTTCTGTCTAGCAGGCTTCCAACTGCAAGAGCCGTCCCCAGCTGCCTCCACTAATAGCTTCCAACATTGTGCCTCCATCACCAAGTACTCTACAACTGAGATTTAATCTAAATGGGGGAAGACTGAGGAATAATCCAAAGCTTTCTCAAGAAAATCCCCACATACAGAAAGCCATTTCAGGAGTGAGACACATGCCAGACACCTGATAAACTGGATTTGTAGCAAGCCTGCGCTGAAATGCAACTTTGACACAATGAAATTTGCCTTCTCTTTTGTTAAGAAGTGCTGTGAACTCCAGTATTTTCCCCGAATATTTAAAATATTTTACCTAAGAAAAGTCTCTGTTCACTCCTTACCTGTAAGACAGTCAAGAAGACTTTAAACTAATGACTTAGTTTGCCTCAAGACAAGTTTGAAGGCCTAAATTTGTTTTTAAGTATTGACAATCTTACAGCGTGGGTTTTCTTTCCCATGATCAGAAGCTAAGAGCCCCCCCATAGTGGTGCCTGCGCATGTTATCTACAGGGATGTATCAAGAACCAGTTCTTCACTTGGTTTGGGAACCGTGCACACACGTTGTATACCCCAGCATGAACTATCCACAGTGGAAACTTTTTCTTCTTGGAAAAGCATCATCAATTTTTCCAGAATTTGATACCAAGAACTTATTAAAGTATGCCTTGTTTAATTGCAAAGGCAGGGATTCGAGAACACTGTACTCCCATGTTTGCTAGTCACATTACCACCATGTATTTGGGTCTCGGTT